GCATTTCATTTTATTAATTCACAGCTTCAATTCCTTTCTGTGCACATTATTTTCCACATATATCTGATATAATAATAAGCACATAAATTCGGCGGCTCTATATTTAAATAAGTGTATGCATGGGAATCTATAATAATATACATAAAGTAATATGTGAAATTTGTTTTCCACTTTTGTCATTTGCAATTATTTTGCCATGTTGGCCTCGGCTTTGTACCGCCGTCATTTCATTTTGTTTACGCTTCATTAAATATTATTGAAATGCTGCAATTAATTGCGTAATTGTTATTTTATGTCACAGCGCAACTGTTTCGGGCACTTTAAGCACTTGACACAACAGCCAGCGGCGACCAGTAACTGTTGCCCTCTGGCTTAATTCCTCCCTACCCCCTACACATCTCCTTTCACTTCATTTTCCTCTCCATTTTCCTCCGCATTTTCCACCGCGCCTCCCCTTCATGTGAATACATATAACGCCCCGAGGGCCATTTGCCGGCCAACAAATTGCACATTAAATTAAACACAAATAACTCGTAAAATTATAAAATTGTTGAATGTAAAAACGTAAAGTGCAACAACTATGTAATTAGCTGCCAAATCAACAAGCGCGCAAATTATCAGTGAAAATAGTGCAAAAAAAATATATAATGAAACTCTGCCGGAAAACGCAATGGCATAAAAAAAAATATTAACAAAAGTTGATCACGCAAAGAAGGCTAACTGAGCAGTCGAGTGGAATACGGAAATACCCTTTGATAAGCGTTAAATAATTACAGTAACATCGAAAATCGGTATATCGAAAGGTAAAGTAATATGTCGATAAAAAACATACAGCTCCTAATATAAAATATCGTAAACTGTTTATCGAATATTTAAATAACAAGATTTTTGGCATTTAAAGCTAAAATAGCGTTACTATGAATAATGTCCTAGCAATTGTATTTATTTTTTTCGATAATTAGTTTGATATATAAAATAATCAATTAATATATCGATATATAAATAGCAAGACTGAATAAATAGATATAATCTTCCACTTCTATATTCAAATTATTCAATAAAATTTGTGTTTATATTTGTATATATATATTTTTGTTTTATAAAAAAAATCTTTGAAAAAATAGTTTCTTTTTTTTATAATATATTTACATTAGCAACAAAAACCTACTGAATCCCGATGCTCTCCCTACGTTACCCTAGATTTACTTCATATTTTCCTAAATCGCTTCCCTAGACGAAAGAGAGCGAGTAGAGTGAGTTACAGGGTATCAATCTTCAGCACGCACAGACAAATACCGGGGCGGCGGTAATAACACAACATAACTCGTTCATCGCATGCAATTTTGGGCCAGCTCTGCGGGTTTGAGGTTTCAACCCGCCTTCGTTTGGACGTTGAACAATTGCCTGACATTTCACTTAGCCAACCTCAACACATTTCACTTTTTTACAACCATTTCACTCAGAATTAGTCTAAGTTCGCTCCCGCTGCTCATTTCGCCGCTGGGCAAACAAGGAACAAAAAATATATATATCTATGTGTATGTGTATACAAAATGTGGCAGTAAATCAAAGGAAGAAATGGGAAGGGGGTCTAGTCCCTGCCACCCAACAGCCATTTGTCAAGCGTCAACAAGAGCGCTGACAAGTGAGAAGCGGATGGGGTTGACCTCACCTCGCCTTTGGGTTTGAGTTTCTAACCCTACGAGCACCGAATGCACAGGAAAAATTAAGCGACATTTTTATATTAATGGAGATTAAGGGATAATATAAATACAGTTTCAGTAGAAATTAATAATGAAATTAGAAAAGGGTGAAAAAATGAAAAAAAATGTATAGAAATCGATATATTAACATTGTGATTTGTGTGCAATAAATCGATATTCAGTTTTGTACCATATATCGGATCTATAAAATATAATAAACATTTCCATAAAATAGAAAGGACAAATACAATTGAAACACATTTTTCGATAATACATTTTTCAAATATGTTCCTATAATATCGATATTTTAATTTTAAAACCATATTTATTGATATTATGACGGCATACCAAAGTTAAAGATATTTCCAACATTAAATTGAGTATATTACTTTATTTATAATTAAACAGTCAGTAATTGCAGGGTTTCTAAAAAGTCAAATATAATTATTACCCAACTACACATTTCCTGCGGTGTATGTCCTTTCCCTTTGTAGTTTTTACTTAACCTTTTTTTCGTGTAAGGTTTGTCGGCTAAAACGATTTAATTTCATTATTAAACAATGGGCGACAAAGTGGCAGCAGATTTCATTTATGACCCGCCTGCTCACAACACGCGATGTCATGTGCCCCACCCCTCCCACCTCCCACTCCACACGGTCAACCTCAACCTCAATCTTATGTGAAAAGACTGAGCTGGAACTGAGCTGAACTGAAGTGACCTGCCCCAACTAATTTCAGATTGAAGCTTTCACCCAGCTGGCACGCAAGGCAGGGGGCGTGTCAGCGGTCAGGTCAACGTTGACGCATTGCCCAGGAACCAGATAATTAAGCATAATGACAGAAATATTATATAGCACTTGCAGCACTTGCTTGATAGATGACCCCGAAGAACAGCACCGAGTTTGGGGGGCTCCCGCCTGCTCCGTAACTGAATTATGGCCAGATGACACAGGAACAAGCAATTTGGTGCCAGAGGCACTAATCAGATCAAAAATGGTTGAGAAATAACTCAAGGAAGAGGGGTGAGAAAAGTCAGTTTTAAAGATTACCAAGGGTTGGAAGTAATTGTAGTTATTCATTATGAAATATTTCTTAAGGGGTTATTACTCAAATAAATAAATTATAAACAAATGTTAAAAGTTGATAAATTTAAACAGGGAAGTCATTAGAAGAAAATAATTACAATAGTTCTGCTTAGAAATTTAGAACAGAACAAAGCACTCAAGGGACTTCAGCATAGACCCTTATACCGCTAAGTAGATCTCATTGGATTTTAAAATAATTAAGTTTAGATGTAAGGTAATATCGTCAATTTAACATTAAATACAATGTTTACCTATATTAAAACCATCGATATATTTAACTGTATAATATTTCATCATCAATGAATCTTCCCCTAGCTTGACCCTGGAATTCCCAACTCGTTCTGAGGACAACTAAGTTATATTTATGTTAAATTAATCGTAATTAAGATCTTAAAACCCCTTTTCAACTATTAATATAAGGTCTTTATATTTCCCCATTTATTTCTTAAGAACAAATAGTCCAAATTAATTCTTTTTTTTTTTTTTTGTGCAATCCCCATGAAATTAAATTAAAAAAAACCCTTGCCCCGCCAACCGCAGCTAAGCTCAACTTAACTAAAATAATATTTGACCAACTTAAGATTTCCCCAGTTGTTGTTTTAGCCGCAGCAGTTGAGTTGAGTTGAGTCGAGTTCAAATTTGCCTACACTTGTTGGGTAATTGCTGTGAAGTGGAGTGCCTGTCTCCATCTCTGTCTGGCTGGGTTTCTGTGCTCCTCCTCCACCACCCCTGTCGGCCATTCAGCCATTCAGTCAGTCATTCAGTTAGTCAGTCAGTCAGTCAAACAACCAACGCAACCGCATTCATTTGCCAAATTAATGGCATTTCATTTGGGGCAGCAGCAACAGCAGCAGCCGCCACGACTCGATTTCATTCATGCAAGGATGTTGTCCTTGTCGTTGTCGTTGTCCTCATCGCTGTCCTTTTCGTTGCCGCCATCGTACTCCATGTCCGTGTCCCCTCGTCTGTCCAAAATTTACGTGTCTGGTTTGGCCGCTTCTGGCGAAAAGATACTGTTTCTAAACCAACTTCTAACCAAGCACTCAAAGAAATCGTATGAATTTTTAAGCAGTATTTAAAATATTTTAAATTAAATACAAGTATTTTTATTCAAGCATTAATAAATAAATTAATTGTTAATTAACTTCTTATCTCATATCCAAGTCAAGTAAAATACCATATTTTTTTCCCCGTGCAGCAACTCCTTTTGTCCAGGAGTTGCACTGTCTTCTGCCAACTGGCGAAGAGCCAGGATGGCTTCTCGCAGGATTTCCGCCCTCTGGACTTAAGGGAAACAGATTGACGGGAGGAAGCCTCTGTGCTCGCTTGCTTTCCAGGCGAACGATTTTGGCAGAACGATGTTTGTCAGCGGAGTGCGATTATTCAAAAGTGCAACATGCAAATTTATTTTGTTCATAAAATGTTATGAGCTCGCATGAAAATGTCTGACAACAATTTGAGACTGCCAATAGCCTGTCCCCCTCCGCTTCTGGAAAACATAAAACTAACTTTTTGGCAAACATTTTCGAAGGGTTTCGAGCTTAATTCTTGTGCGAATCGAATTTGATTTTGACGACACTGCCAATTATTGGTTTGAATAATAAATTGACTTTCAGGTTTGTGTTTGTGGCTCATTTCATATCCTTATTGTAGGTTGGTAAAGGGCTTACCACTTCTTTTTCGACCCGTTTCCATCCATTATCCTCTCCGCAGTGTGACATTGAATTGATTTCAGCGCCACATTTCAATTAATATATGTATATTGTATGTTGCGGATTCATACATTTCCCACCAGCTCTTGGGTAAAAAATTGGTGGTGGCCACCGCCGCCAGTGATTTGCACTTTTCCAGCTCATTAAAATCGCATAATTTGTTAAATATTTACGAGTTTGTTGGATCCGCTTTATATATCTTCTTTTTTTTTACACAACACAGCGGCTTCATTTACCTAATAAAATTACTGTCAATTAACGCCATACTTTTTCCTTATAATTTTCCCAGAAGTGAACCTTTCCCCAGGCTTACAACACAGCACGTGCCTCTGCCATTTTGGATTATTATTTACCTTTACCTTTACCAATCAGAAACAGGTACCCCTTTAGCCCAAAGTCAGGACAGACACGGGTGTCTATAAATTATGTAAACGGTTTAATCTGTTTTTTCAAGTAGGCCAGCGAATAAATTAGCACCTGACATTAAGAAAACATTCAAATTATGAGTTAAGATTAAGGAATAATCTATATTTGAGATAAAGAAACAATGGATATGATATTCAAAAATATAAAGAAAGAAATTTGTTTACATTACAGTGAATTACAAATTAGTTTATATTTTTCATGTGAAAATAAATCCAAGAAGAAACGTCAAGCAACCAACTCTGGCCATAGTGGTGATCTGCAGATGATAAGCCTTGCATATGATTATATCCATATTTCGACAATCCAAACAATCCCTTGTATTCGAAATTATCATTAATAGTTTCCAGCCAACCATCAATTAATTTTCCATTACAAAGTGCAAATGCACCTGGTGCTGCCGCATTTCTCTTCCTTTTGTAACCGAAATAGCTGCCCTGATTTACGTTGATAGCTGACAAAGCACATGGTGCATACATAGTGGAAGGTTCCTCCCAAAGTACTGCCTTGAGATTTTCTTTCTCTTCATATTCCTTAAATAGGAAGGCAGCAATGTTTTCAGTGTGCTCGAACACGGCTTTAACGCACTTTACTCCTGAGTTTCCCACAACAATTGACGAAGTTAACATAGCTCCACGACTGTGGCACAGAATTCCTCCAGTGTCATCAGAATCCACAAACGTACATCCTGAGCATTTACGAATTCCTTCGATATGTAACTTCTCAAGCGGGTGATACCCAAGAAGGTTTTCATTTACCTCACATTCGGCGGGCAGCCAGCCATTTGGGAAGGGATTCCAGTTGAGATCCTCAGTTTCATCGGTGACCAGTGCTTGTCGTTTTATATACTCTGACGTTATGTATGGGGATATGTAGCACTCGTAGGCATTGTGGTTCGCCGCAGTGGGAATTCCGAAAGTCCCGGAACGACACGGCTTCTCCCCCTTGATGCGCCTTTGGGGTGTGGCTGCTTCCGGTAGATTCCAATATATTTGTGTTCCATCCGGCATCATGGTCTTTCCGATTCCCTGAATGTACAAATAGATCGGCAGTGGTATAAAGAAATCTTCGTAATAGTATTTTGCATAACAACGATGCCGCGCCACTTCCAACATTCTTGCCGTAAGGATTTCAGTCATGGCATGTTGAAAGACACAGAAGGGCAACCGTCTCTCGAGGTGGTAGTCCCTCGCCGCCATATATATATATACTGATTTTACAAGCGGAATAAAGCCAGCAAAGTCAAAGTTTTGGCCAAGCATTTTGGCTTGGTGACTGCCACGGCCTGATCCATAACGGAAGGGATCATCATCATCCCTGGATGGATTTCCTTTGCGGTTTTGGTGCCTTCCCCGTCGGTGACTCATCGTAAGTTGAACCGGTTAAGCTTGGATTTTATATATTTTCGTATAAGTAATATGAAATTATTTGTAGCTGGAGAACAACTTACCAGAATCAGCTGATCAGTGTGACCGTAGCCCGGTCAGTAAAATAAAGGAATATATACCAATAATATATATTTAAAAAAAAACTGACTGAAGCTATCGCGGCAGTTTTTTTTCAGTTGAAAATAACGGCTAAATATCGCTTTTCATCACCGATATTTTCAGTACTTTAGTTATTTAGTCTTTAAGGAAATATTCAGAATATAAGCACGATTGCTAACGGAACACAAACAATATAATATTCATATCAATACTGTGTCCAAATTATATTTAACAAGAAGGTCAACAAATAAATAAGTTCATATTCTGCTGTATATATTTTTCTCATATTTTTGCAATAAAATAAAAATTATATTGAAAACTATATAAAAACAATCGGTAAAAAAGACCCAAATAAATATTTTATATTATATCAGATATGTTTCCGTTATTATTTATTGATAAAATATACATTTCTAAATTTTTTAAATAAAAAATTGTTTAGTTTCAGCAAGTTTATAGGTCAAACTTTACAATATTTTTAATATCTGAGTTTTTCTCTTGATATACTTATTTTTTATTCCACCCGGTAACTCTATTATTAAGTCAAACATTTCACAACTAAAAGTTTCCTGATGAAACAATTTCTAATACATTTCCACTGGCTGTATGCATTCATTCAAATGAGGATAGCCATAAAATGTATACCACTTTCCCTTAATGTTATTTTATGCTTTACTCTGACGAGGTCACCCCTTGAAAATTTTGACGACTCCACATTGATCCCTTACGGTATCCAGAGCCCGAAAATGAAATTAATTTTTCCGCTGACACAGGCCCACAACTGCAGAGAAGAAAGCAATCGGGGAGGGGAAAAAGGGAAAAAGAAACTGCAGCATCGTCAAAGCGAAAACCGAAATCCAGAAAAAAACCAAAACCCAGGAAGCGAGCGAAGCAAACTTCCAACACATAAAATTTCAACCAAAAGAAACCAAAAAAAGAAAAAAAGAGGAGCTAAAAAAATGGGGGGGGGCAGGACAGGGCAACAAAAAACATAAAGCTGATGGATTTACGAACAGAACAGACCATTTTCCAGGGGTGCACTGGAGTGGAGTTCAGTGGAGTGGCAAGTGGCAAGTGGAAAACTCGGTGGTTTGGTGGCTGTCTAAGAGCATGCCACCAAATAATAATAGTTTTTCACTTGTTCAGTTTGACCGCCAGCAGCAGCAGCAGCAGCCAAGCGCCGAGTTTATGTGACAAACGTGACTCAGGCGACAATTGCTCGGCTTTGCAAGCAGCCATCCCCCTCACGCTCCTCCCCCCCGCCGGAAAAGTCGGTTGGGGAAAAGCGGTGCCGCCTTTTTTATGGCCACACAATAAAGCGAGCAATTGAGCGTCTTAAAGTGTCGCCCAAGTGCATTTAAATCACACACTTTGCGACCATTTGCCGTAATTTGACTTTAAATGTTATGGCCAAGAGTTGATTCGCCTCTCGTCTTCACACACACACACTCCCTCCCACCCGTTTAGTTGGGCAACCAAAGGACCTTGGACTATGCTCTATTTTATGGCCAATGTCTGGTACCTACCACAACTGCTAACAGCAGCAAAGAAATGTAAAAAAAAAAAAAGGAAACGATATAAGAAAAACATAAATTTGATGTACATGTCGATTATGTGCCAAAAACGAGCAAAAAACCACAAATTTCACGGGGTTTTGTCGTTTCAAGAAAGCTTCACGACCTTCGGCAAATGAGGTCATCAGCAAAATTGAAATATATATGCAAAAAATAGAAAAAGAAGTTAAACATTTAATGAATCAATGAATACCCAAAAACTGTAGGTAATTTTAGAAGAGCTCTACCATAATACAAATTAAATTCCAACTTAATATATTTTTATAAAATATCTAAAAGAACCTAACCTGATAGATATCACTTTCTACAACTAAAAACTACAAGGAATAACTTTAAACCAAGTTCAATTAAAATTTTAAATACTAGATCATATAAAAATGCATTCTTAAACCCTTAAAAAAACTCTTTTCAATTTAAATAATTTTCCGTTTTTTTCCCCCAACAATTTCAACTCATATCCACATGAATTACATATCGAAATCGCTGGCTTAATATGCTAGTTATAAGAGACATACACATTCACTATATACTCTACGAGAAAAAATTGCCAGAAATATGTGGGAAAAATTGAAACTCAAGGCTTGGATAAATAAAAAGTGTATAAATTAAAAAATATAAATAAACCCAACAAAATTGTGCGAATGTTGTGTGCATGAATGCATCGGTGAAAATTCAAATGAATATAAAGGCAGAAAAAAAAACCAGATAGGTGCTAAATATTATTTTCGAGAACCAAATACATATACTTTTTTTTTAATACCCTTCAACGGTGGCTTTTGAGTGCAATAAATCGTTATCAAGTTGCTTAATTGGCAAGTTCTCAAAGCGTAAGGGTATATATCTATATCGTTTTCAGTCTCTTGTATATAAATTAAGTTATTTAAGAACCAAAGAACCTTTAACCATTAATATCCATTTAGATTTCCCCTTGAAAGTCGATAGCATTTTCATAACAGAAGTTTCTTTTATAGTTCAATTAATTTTTTAACTGCCAATAAAATATTGTTTACTCCCATAGACGGCCATCAAGATAATGTGGCTCTCTATCTATGGCTAATTTGCGTGCCATTTTGAAGCGGTGGAAGGAGGGGAAAAGAGTCGGGAAAAGTGGGGAAAAGCAGGCAAGTCTGAACGGAGGAAAGCTCCAGGATTCTCGATTGCAGGATGCGACCGCTTAAGTGCCTCTGCCAGAGTCATAACAATACACTACAGCCGCCGTGGCCCAGCAACAAAAGCCGCCGCTGACATGCCGCTTATTATTTATGTATTTTAATAACAGGCCGTCGACGACGACGACGACGACGACGTCGCGACAGAGCTGAAATGGAAGCTGGAGGAAAGCTTGAGGGGAGGAGAAAAATGAAGTACAATGGCCGACGGGCTACAAAATGGACATTGGTTAATGCGACAGCTGCTGGGGGGAGATCGAAAAACCAGCAGCACAAAAAATGTAGGGGGGCAGAATTGCGGCTGCCTGTTAAAAACAATAAACATACTTATATATATGTATATGTATATATATATACAAGAGCCGCAGCCCACTCGGCGTATACTTAATGCCCGAACGAGTCTTGAACTTTAAACCAAAGTTGCAGCATAATTGAAATGTTATCCTCAGCTTCTATGGTTATTTATATGCATATAATATATATAATAAATCTTATTAAAATTTAAGCTTACATGTGAATTGCACGGAGAGAATGGAATTGAATTAAATGAATAAAAAATGGATAAAGAAACCCATAAATAAATAACTAAATATAGAGAAAATATATAAAAAACAATAATAATTATATAAAAAAAAAATAAATTAATTAATAATAAAAAACAAGAAAGGAAGCTAACTTCGGCACACCGAAGTTTGTATACCCTTGCAGATTGGTTTTGATGTTTATATTATAAATTTAAATGCTGAAAACACTCACAAAACAGAGTTTCATTACATTTTACCTATACTTATTATGTTTACAGTTTGACAGTTACAGTTTTACATTCCTAGCTTTACATTTTCTCCACATTTACCGATCGTTTACATGGCAGCTATATGATGTAGTTCTCCGATTTTCATAAAATTTTTACCAAAATTCTGAAACAATAAAAGAAGCTCATTTCTAAAAGTAGATAAGAATATGTTGAAAAACAACGAAGTTATAATTTTTTTCCTATTCATTTTCCGATCGTTCCTATGGCAGCTATAAGATATAGTCGTCCGATTTTCATAAAATTTTTACCAAAATTCTGGAATAATATAAAATGGCTAAATCTCAAAAATGATGCAAAAATATTGAAAAACAGCCAAGTTAAATTTTTTTTTCTAAAAATTTATCGAACATTTGTATGGGAGCTATATGATATAGTCGTCCGATCCGGCCCGTTCCGACATATATAGCAGTGAGAGTATATAGAAGACTATGTGCAAAGTTTCATTCAGATAGCTTTAAAACTGAGGGACTAGTTTGCGTAGAAACGGACAGACGGACGGACGGACAGACGGACGGACAGACGGACAGACGGACAGACGGACATGGCTAGATCGACTCGGCTCTTGATGCTGATCAAGAATATATATACTTTATAGGGTCGGAAACTTCTCCTTCACTGCGTTGCAAACTTCTGACTGAAATTATAATACCCTGCAAGGGTATAAAAATAAATTAATTAATAATAAAAAAAATAAATTAATAAATAATAAAAAAAACAAATAATAAAAAGAATAATAAATAAAATAATATATAAATAAACGATTAAATTAATAATTATATAATGAAGTAAAAATAAATATAAATGTATAATAATTGTTAAATGAAGAAATAATTTAATAAATAAATTATAAACAATAAATAAACGAACATTTATTAAATACTTAAATTATTTTTTGATATTAATTAAATAATCATTAAATAAATATTAAATTAATTAATAATTAATTAAATGTAAGAAAGATTAAAAATAATCCCCTAAAAAAATTGTATATACATTTACAAGCGTAACAATAACCCAGACTTTTAAATAAAGCTCTCCCATCGCTTATAACCCATATTTCCCCTCAGTGTAGACTCGCTCATTGCATAATTAATGCTCTCTGTGTTTTAAATTTACATTTACAATGCCGTTACACGATGCTCACCGATGCTGATGCGCATTAAGTGGCGTATGGCATGCCTGGCGTATCTGTGTGTGGCAGGGCAGGTGATTCTGTTGCTCCTGCTGCTTAACCACAATCAGTCCTAGCATATAAGTATATATAAGTATATATATATATATATATATATATATATATATATATATATAAATACACTACATATGTATGTGTGAAGACTCGCAGCTCAACGGAACTCAAGCTGAAAGCTGATGCAAAGCAGCACCGAAGGCTTAATGAAATTATCATTTCGTTTTGTGCATTCATTGCAACTTCTTTGTCT